AAAATAAAATCAAAGCGTGAGCAGGGCAAGATTTAAAACTAAATAAGGAATAAATATTTATCCGGACATGTATGATGTATGAAATCAAATAGCGAAAAAGGCTAATAATTTACGAAAAAGAAAATGGGCATCGGCAGAGGGCTCGGGGGGCGGGGACCAAAAACCAGATATTCCGAAAAAAAGAAAAAAAACAGAGAAGAAAAAACAGGATCCTCGTCTCGTCGCATAGATAGTATAGGGAGGAGGGGCCATTATTTCTTCTTTTATTGGACGCAAATTGAAAAACCAAGCCGCGGGACGACGACAAAAACCGAATAAGCGGACAACATCAGGGTCTTGGGTGCAAACAAAAGAATCACCGTTACGGATCACGTGAGATGCGTGCCCGCCCCCCTCTTAGTCTCTGACACACAGCACTGCCCGTACGTACACTCTCTCTCCCCCCGCCTCCAAAGTTGGCATTATTTCCGCACTTAAAACCTCCGCCATCTCTGCAAAAATAATGCTGTGAACCCAACACGCCATTGATGCGTCCTCCCACCGCGCACCATCCTCTCGTTCCTCTTTCGTTTTGCCCCCCCCCCCCCCCCCCCCTACCCATCTTCGTCCCCACCTCTCGCTCCATGCCCGCATAGTTCTCTCTCGCTATCTCTCGCTCTCTGTGTGCTTGTCCTTCTTTGAGAGACGATCATGGCGTCCGGTCCCCTGCTGACCGCGTTCTTGGCGTTGCTCTCCGCTTCCGGGCTTCTGTTCGCGTCGTCCGACGCGGCCGCTGAGGAGCGGAGGGTGCAAGGGGTGGTCTCGGACAAGGACCACCTTCTCGGCTTCAAGAACGGGCTCGAGAACCCGGAAGCTCTCGCGTCCTGGAGCCCGTCCCTGACGCACTGCGAGTGGGATGGCGTCGCCTGCGACGGGGCCGGCCGCGTCGTCTCGCTCTCGCTCTCGGTGCAGTCCCTCAAGGGCCCTCTCGAGCCTTCCTTGTTCTCGCTCTCCGCCCTCGCCTCCCTCGACCTGTCGCTCAATCGTCTCTACGGGAACATCTCCCCCCGGGTCGCCCAGCTCAGGAGCTTAAAGGAGCTTTCTTTGGGCGGCAACGAGTTGTCGGGCGAGGTCCCGAGTAGGCTCGGCGAGTTGGCTCAGCTCGAGACGCTCAAGCTCGGCGGCAACTCGCTCGTGGGGAAGATTCCGCCGGAGCTCGGGGCCCTCGCCCAGCTCCGGACCCTGGACCTCTCCAGCAATGCCCTCTCCGGCGAGGTGCCGGGTCGGATCGGCGAGTTGGCCCGGCTGAAGTACTTGGACTTGGCCAACAACCTCCTCTCAGGTTCATTACCTACAACTTTTTTCACCGGGCTCTTGTCTCTATCTTCGCTTGACATATCGAACAACTCTTTCACTGGTCCGATACCACCTGAAATTGGCAACTTGAAGAACCTGACCGACCTTTACATTGGCATCAACCAGTTCTCTGGCTCCCTGCCTCCTGAAATAGGAGAGCTTGACAATCTTGAAAATTTCTACTCGCCCTCCTGTTCTATAACTGGCCCATTCCCTGAGGAAATGTCAAAGATGAAGTCTCTCAGTAAACTCGACCTTTCTAATAACCCCTTGAAGTGCCCCATTCCAAGATCCTTTGGGAAGTTGCAGAATTTGACCATACTCAATATCGTCAATTCCGAGCTTAATGGGTCGATCCCTAGTGAGCTCGGGAACTGTCGAAACCTGAAGACTCTAATGCTTTCCTTTAATTCTCTCTCTGGGTCTTTGCCTGAGGAGTTGTCTCAGCTCCCCGTGTTGTCATTTGCTGCCGAAAGGAACCAACTTTCTGGTCCGTTGCCTTCGTGGCTGGGGAAGTGGAAGATGGTGGACTCGATTCTGCTTTCGAGCAACCGGTTCTCGGGGAAAATCCCTCCAGAGATCGGGAACTGTACAATGCTCAAGCAACTTAGCTTGAGCAATAACATGTTGACGGGTCCTATACCGAATGAAATGTGTAATGCCGGGTCTCTGACGGACGTCGGTCTCGAAAGCAATTTATTAGTTGGCACTCTTGATGATGTGTTTGTGAACTGCGCGAATCTGACCCAGTTGGTTTTGGTAGATAATCGCATCAGTGGATCGATCCCGAACTATCTTTCAAATCTCCCGCTTATGGTGCTAGACATTGATTCAAACAACTTCGGGGGCCCAATACCAGTCAGTCTGTGGAGCTCTTTCAGTTTGATGGAGTTTTCTGCTTCAGACAATCTTTTAGAAGGGAGTTTATCTGCTGAAATTGGTCAAGCTGCTTCATTGCAGAGGCTTGTTCTCAGTAACAACATGTTGAAAGGTACCATACCGAAGGAGATTGAGAATCTGACTTCTCTATCTGTCCTCAACTTGAACTCGAATCAGTTTGACGGGAATATCCCCATTGAGCTCGGAGATTGCTCTAGCCTTACGACGCTGGACCTCGGTAATAATCGCCTCAGTGGGTCTATCCCCGATACTCTAGCTGACTTGTCTCAGTTGCAGTGCTTGGTCCTTTCTCATAATAATCTATCTGGATCGATTCCATCGAAGTCATCTTCATATTTCCATCAGGTTGGTATTCCTGATTTGAGCTTCCTTCAGCACCATGGGGTATTTGATCTGTCCCATAATAGATTATCGGGCTCAATACCTGAAGAATTGGGGGCTTGTGCGGTTGTGGTGGATCTGTTGCTCAGCAACAACATGCTTTCTGGTGAAATCCCAAGCTCCCTATCTCGCTTAACGAATCTCACCACGTTAGATTTGTCAGGGAATTTGCTTACTGGCCCAATCCCTCCAGCATTGGGTGACTCTCGCAAGCTACAGGGCTTGTCTCTGGGGTATAATCAGCTCACTGGTTTCATTCCTGGAAGCTTAGGCCGTTTGAGCAGCTTAGTGAAGCTGAATTTGACAAGTAATAAGTTGTCAGGTTCTATCCCTGCTAGCTTTGGGAGGTTGAGAGGGCTAACTCACTTGGATCTGAGCTTCAACAATCTCACCGGTGAGCTTCCTGCTTCACTATCACGGTTGCAGAATCTTGTAGGGCTGTATATTCAGCAGAATCAGCTTTCTGGGCGGGTTGATGCGCTCTTCTTGGATTTCATTTCGTGGAGGATCGAAATGGTGAACTTGAGCTGCAATTCTTTTGCTGGAACTCTGCCACTGGCGCTGGGCAACCTGTCGTACTTGTCCTACTTGGATCTTCACGAAAACATGTTTGCAGGAGAGATTCCTCCGGAACTGGGGAACCTGATGCAACTTGAATACCTCGATCTTTCGAGAAACAGGCTCTCTGGACCTATTCCTGATCAATTGTGCAGCCTGATCAGCCTCAGCTATCTAGACTTGGCTGATAACACATTGGGAGGGCCAATACCCTCGAACGGAATTTGCCGAAACCTATCGAAGCAAGCGCTTGCTGGGAACAAGGATCTCTGTGGTAGTATCATCAGCTCAGATTGTCAGATCAGAAGATTCGACGGGAGATTGTTTCTGCTAAATGCTTGGGGACTTTCTCTAATCGGGATAGGGGTCGTGCTCGGTATGCTCTTCTTAGCTTTTGCTCTGAGGAGATGGACGGTTAGAAGCAGTAAGCAAGCTGATCCTGAGGAAAGCGAGGACAGCAAACTAAAAAGCTTCATCAACCAGAATCTCTATTTCTTGGGTAGCAGCAGATCCAAGGAACCATTGAGCATCAATGTGGCTATGTTCGAACAGCCCCTTCTGAAGCTGACATTGGTGGATATTCTCGAAGCCACCAATAATTTCTGCAAGACCAATATAATTGGAGATGGGGGTTTCGGAACTGTTTATAAAGCCAATCTGCCCGACGGGAGAATGGTTGCTGTCAAGAAGCTGAGCCAAGCAAAGACACAGGGCCACCGTGAATTCACTGCTGAAATGGAGACTCTAGGCAAGGTGAAGCACTTGAATCTGGTCCCGCTGCTCGGCTACTGCTCCTATGGGGAGGAGAAGGTACTCGTGTACGAATACATGGTAAACGGGAGCTTAGATCTTTGGCTGAGAAACCGCACCGGGACGCTCGATGTTCTGGATTGGCCCAAACGGTTCAAAATAGCGATTGGAGCTGCGCGGGGGCTAGCTTTCCTCCATCACGGATTCATCCCGCACATCATCCACAGGGACATAAAAGCCAGCAACATCTTGCTCAATGAAGACTTCGAGCCCAAAGTTGCAGACTTCGGCTTGGCAAGATTGATCAGTGCTTGCGAAACTCATGTTAGCACCGACATTGCCGGAACATTCGGCTACATTCCACCGGAGTACGGGCAAAGCGGGAGGTCCACTGCAAAGGGGGACGTCTACAGCTTCGGAGTCATCTTGCTCGAACTGGTGTCGGGGAAAGAGCCCACGGGGCCCGACTTCAAGGAGATCGAGGGAGGGAATCTGGTGGGCTGGGTGTTCCAAAAGATCAAGAAGGGGCGCGCCGTCGACGTTCTCGACCCGACGGTCCTCAGCGCCGATTCGAAGACGGCCATGCTGCAGGTGCTTCAGATTGCAGCCGTCTGCCTCTCGGACAACCCGGCCAGCAGGCCGAGCATGCTTCATGTGCTGAAGTTTCTCAAAGGGATCGAGGAAGACTGAACCTGTCGATGCTCTGGCGTTAAGCAATTTAGCAGCAGTAACTTTATGGGTTAATTTCCCTTTGCTGTAAATTAGATTAGGAACAAAATCAAGAGTGATTAGTGCAAAGTCTTAACCTTGCTAATCTAGTAGTTGTAATCCGGAGCTGTAACTCTTTGCTGACTAATCTCGCACTGTTTCCCTTGTGAACAAACCTTGCACAACTTGTGCTCTTTAAATGGATGAAATGATTAGGATGTTATTATGTTCCCATCAATTAGACATTAATTAGACATTAAAATGGATGGGATTAGTTTTAAACTCGTTGAATTTCGAATTACCGTTAGCTTTTCTTTAATTACCAAAATTAGATAACTACGCTTACGAATCTGTATTATGGGTAATCATGGAAAAATTTGCTGAAGTTGATTGGATGCGTAGTAAATACAAAGTAGATTACGGAGCTAATGACTGCTGACTGCTGACTGCTAACGAAGATTGTGGGATAATCTCTTTCTTTGGCTTCACACGTTCTGTGCTCTTACGCCTATAATTAATCTACTTTTACATTAATTAAGCTAGTCCAGAGGAGAAGGAGATCACCCTCTGATCCCCATCCAACGGCTCGAATTTCACGCCACCAGAACCAGGTTGCTGCAGCCGCAGCATGGCGTCGGATTCCGCCATCGCCGCCGCCGCCGCCTCGATTTCCCTCCCGCGCTTCATCCCCAACGCTACCCCGAACAGCTTCGGGCTCTCCTGTCCATCCTCTTCCTCATCTTCCTCGTCCTCCTCTTCGTCGTCGCCGCCGCCGCCGCCGGCCGTCGGCCGCTTCACCGGCAACAGGTCGAGCGCTCTCGCCGCCGCCGCCTGAGAACCGGCCTGCGGCCCCCCGTTCGCGGCGTAGCTCGACATCAACGACAGGATGTTGTTGCAGAGGCTCTTCATCTGCGTCAGCTCGCGGTTGAGGAACGCGTTCTCTTTCCTCAGCCTCTCGTTCTCGTCCATGATCTCCGCCGTGCAGTTCTGGCCGCAGGCGGACGGCGGCGAGGAGTGCTGCGACGACATCACTTGCTCTTCTCCCGAGCTCGAAGGCGAAATTACCGGCATCGCCGTCGGGATCGCCATGGGCACGGTCGCCGTGGCTTCCGGGACAACCGCCGCCGTCGCGGCCGTCGCCAGAGCCGAGACCTTCCGGCGCTGGATTTCGCACAGGAGCCGCTTCTCGCCCCTGCGGAAGCAATCGTTGGAGAACTCCCACCGATCGGGCACGACTTTTCGAAACCCCTGCCAAATCAACTCAGCTAAGTCAGATTCCAATCAAATCGCTCTCCGTCGCGAGGCCGATGGGGGGGGGGGGGGGGGAGAGGAGCTAGAGATAGAGACGGCTCACGTAGGTGTTGAGCTGCCTGACGAAGCTGGAGAAGTTGTTGTGCTTGAAGCACTTGGGGAGCAGATCGCGGGCGAAGACGGTGGGGTTCCACACCACGAAGGCGGATCCGTCGTCGTTCCAGGAGATGACGTCGTCGACGGCGGGGTCGTCGACGAGCTGGTAGGTCTTCGTGAGGAAAGGCGTCGGCGTCGGCGTCGGCGTCGACCGCTGCGGCTCGCCGGACGGAGGGTCGCCGCCCTGCTGCTCGACGGGCGGCGGCGGGGCCATCGGCAGTCGCTCGCTCTTCAAATGGAAGGGGGCCTGGAAGGTTCGTTGAGGGGGCAGAGAAGCAGGGAACAGGATAAAAATGGAGGTGTGCGGAAGGACAGAGGAGGAAAGTAATGGAAGGAAGGTTCGGCCAGGTTCTGGTCGCGTGTACACGTGTCGCTGGATGCGACGGGATCGAATTTTGATTTTTGTTTTGTTTTATTTTATTTTATTTTATCTATTTTTTGCTCATTATTTTCTTTTATTTTATTCAATCATGTTCGAGTGACGGACGATGAAAGAAGAGGATTGGTTGGGGGTAGAAGCTGAAGCAAGTAAAGTGCATAGTAAGAGTATTTTCCAATTGTCCTATGGTCAAAGTTATTTTCCAAATTTCCTAGGGTCAAAGGTATTTTCCAAGTTTATTTTGTGAAAATTTAATAAGCGCGAGAGAGCTTATTCTTGTTCTAGATGACATCAATTCACGGCTGTCAAAGTTAATGTACAGCTCTTAACTGGGAATTAAAAAAAACGGGTTAAGAGTAATGTTGGACATACTAAAATTTGAGTAGTGCCGGAGATACCGATTTTCTTTTTCCCGATCATTCCCCGCTCTCTTGCTAGAACCGCCATTTTTTTTTTACGGAAAATGTCACCAAAAACCTCAAACTATGCCACTTGTGACACATTTACTCTGAACTTTTTTTTGTAACACGAAAAACCCCAAATTATGCCATTTGTGACAAATTTACCCTTAACTTTTTTTTATGACACGAAAAACCCCAAACTATGCCACTTGTGACACATTTACCTCACAATACTTTGATCCATAGACATTTTCGTCTTTTTCCTTTTTCTTTTTTTTTCCTTTCTTCTCCGGCGGAGGGAAGCCGGCGAGGGCGGTCCTCGCCGGCGGTGGGTTGGGCAAGGGCTGCCCTCGCCCGACGCCGACAAGGGTCGCCCTCGCCAGACTCAGGCGAGGGCAGCCTCGCCCAACGCTAGCGAGGGTCGCCCACGCCCGGGCGGGCAGGGGCGACCTCGCCCAACGCCGCCGAGGGCGACCCTCGCCGGCGACGGCGAGGGTCGCCTCGCCGGCTTCCCTCCGCCGGAGAAGAAAGGAAAAAAAAAAGGAAAAAAAAAAGAAAAAGGAAAAAGTCGAAAATGCCCATGAGTCAAAGTATTATGGGGTAAATGTGTCACAAGTGATATAATTTGGGGTTTTTCGTGTCATAAAAAAAAGTTCAGGGTAAATTTGTCACAAGTGGCATAATTTGGGGTTTTTCGTGTCACAAAAAAAAAGTTCAGGGTAAATATATCACAAGTAGCATAGTTTGGGGTTTTTGGTGATATTTTCCCTTTTTTTATAAATGGCGGACCGAAATGCTCTTCATATTAAAAATTTAAAGTTTCTGACCCCTTCTCCTTTTATCTCCATGTAGTAGTATCTCGCCCTCCCTCCTTCACTGAGTTGATGCTGCTCATGCTTCGACTTTGAGCGATTTTTGTTTTTTTGGTTTTGCTTGATCGATATCAAGCAAAGGTTTATAAGAGAAAATGTTTGATTGATCTTATCGTCTCATAAAGTAATTATCAAAAGAATCTCATCGTTACCCAAAGAAAAAGCCTCTCTCGATGTCGACTTGACGTTTCAAACAGACTCGCCCTCGGCCTCGTGCCGAGCCCACTAGCATACGCCGTCGCCGCAGCCATCTATTAGAATAATTAAATATTTAGGGTGCGTTCATTTCGCGGAAAATGAGTGATTCGGAAAATATTTTTTGAAAAATGATTATTTATATCATTTAGAAAAATTAATCAACGGAAAATATTTTCATCATTAATAGCAATCTATGCATAACTATTTTTATGGGCGATGAAAAATTTTTCCATTGATTTATTTTTCTAAATGATATAAACAATCATTTTTTGAAAAATGTTTTTTAAATCATTCATTTTCCGCGAAACGAGCGCACCCTAAACCACGCCCTTATCTAATAGCTTAACTTTTTAGAACAGTTGGCAGTGGTCCCACAAAATCTCACATGGTATCAGAACTGGAGGTTCAAAGTTCAAATATTTCCAGACCCCATTTACCTCCCTAATTAAATATGTTCATGCTTAGTACTAGTTTAAAAAAACCAGACTAATTCCTAATAGTTTCAACTTTTAGAACAGTTGATAATTTCTCGCTTCCATGCTTTGTATTAGACAAAAAGTTCATACTAATTCTGAGGGAGAGTGTTAGAATATTTAAATGTGAGATTTTGTAGATAGTATAAATGGGCTCACAACTCGTATGTTTGTGAGGAAGGAGGATTGAGAGGACACATAGATATATGTTATCTTTACATCTTATCTTATCCATGGTCGATAGCCGACGGAGGGACACGTCTGCCTGCCGCAATTCTTGACATTCCAAGCTCCATGATTATAATAACTTTGTCCCCGAAAGAGATTGATTTCATAATCACTGCGGGCTCGTTCCTATTGTTTTGATCGAATTTCTCCGTTCTTCAAAGGTGACAAGAGGGTTAAATTGAGGAGAAGCCATGATGCCGGATGGTAACACCAAAGATCAGATTAAGATTGGTTCCAACACCAAGCTCAGTCCCCTTATCATCTCTTTATGTCGTATCCGATCTCAAATCGCTGATGTTCATCCGAGATTGGACCGGTCGCGGTTTATCCCATCTCTTTCCTTATCCCATCACTGCATCTTGATGAGGGTAGCTAGATAGAAGTCCTTCCATTGTAGTTCACTCGAACTAGGCTAACGTGGAATTCAAATCCAACTTTCAAACACAATTAATATCCCGAAAAGAGTTGATTTCAGCCGCTCTTATCTAAAATCTTTTATATTATTCGGCGACCTTAATTTGACATTAAAGACTATTCCTAAAAAAAGTTAGGTTAAGCACATTTAGTAACGCTGCATTGAGCGCGAGAAAAAAACGATCCATTGAAAATTATGGCATCTCTTACTTAGTTGTTTGAAAAATTGTATCGAGTATCGGTTATAACACGATCTTAGATTAATACGGTTAGATAAGACATTCTAAGGCGACATATAAATGAAGGAATATACGTTGACTATGCATAGTCATCGTGTGGCAATGACCAAATTTGTCCGAGTGTTACTCCCCATAAGTCATGGAAGATTCGATGTGGAGATAATCGAACTTATTTGTAAACCAAACAACAGTTAAAAAACAAAGGCAAATCGAGTCAAACGCGGTGAGATCGAAAGGTATGTCCAAGCATAGCATCGCGAGTCAATGCTGCCTTTTTAGCCTGGAGAATCTATCTCTTCTATACTCGAACGGGGCAGGTTAATTAAGTCTATTATCCGTTTACATCAATGGAGCGGGCTCTTATGTTTAATATTGGTACTTGCGCACAATGTTGGGTGGGTAAATTCCAATCGCCAAAAAAATAATAATAATAATAATAATGACTTTGTAGTTTTGTGATTGTTGAAGTTTTAAGCGCGATGCGGTACACCCGCGAGGCAACTAAAGATCCAATTGCCAAAACAAAAGATCTAAAAATGATATTGCACGTATCGAAAAAGCTCATGAACCCCCGCGCCATTATTCCTTTGCATGAAGAATCCCAAGATGATGGGCGATCGATGACAAGCGGCATTGGGAACTAGAACATGCAATAAGCTCGTGTCGTTTCTTTCGTGGCCTGGAATGCCAGGTCCCCAGACGCTGTACCAGAGGAAAACAAGGCCCGTGCTACCAGAAACTGAGAGCGAACGAAATAAACGCGAAAGCCACGTAGACATAGCTCATATGGAAGATCTCAGATAAAAATGACTTAGACAGTGGCAAGTCCTGGTTTTTATAATTTGAGTAAGGAGAAGAGATATTTGTGACCCTGAGAATGAAATCTCAACTGTTGAAGAGCAGCTCGTTAGCTTCATCTCTAAGCATGACCCCAGTCCATCGAACAGGAAACAAAACCTTAAAAAAGTAGCGAAAATATCTGCGCTCCCGCACAGAAGTTTAGGCCCCCGGCCTCAATAAAAATCAAAGACCCAAAAGAACATGAAAATCCAAAGAATCTTCAACAAATCCTGCGTTGATGGTGACAGACACTATCGAAAAGTCTAACCCTTTGGTGAAGCCCGAGGGCAACGGGCCTCCCCAACTGCAAGCTAAGCTAATTAAAGCAATCGCCATCGAGATCAGGTTCAGGACATTGGTGCTACTCCAATGGACAGCTCAAGCTCCTGCCAGCTGGTCCCGAAATTTTCTCTTATCCTAAGAAACTCACCCATGATTATCTATCTCTCCCTAGTGTTATTATATTGCATTCCAACAACGGCAGACCAGAAAAGAAAGTGAAAAGGAATCAGGAACAGTGGATATTGTCTTTGGTCTTTTCTCAGGTGGGTCTGGCTTGGGAAGCCTGTACATTGGTGGGGTCTTCTTCCTCCTCGTCAGCTGCTCTTTTCGCGATTTGGGGGACTACCTGCAAAGAAATCGACATTAAGATTTGTATAATTCCGGAAAGGATGATTAGTAACTGTCGAAAGCATTCATTGACGGTACAGAACATGCTAAACATGGCCTACTTGGGTATTTTCCGGTGAACGTGGATGCAATTATGGTAAATGTTCTGAAAATTGACATCGTGCCCACCAGAGATTTGATTTTCTATGTAAAAATATATCGATAATATCATTTTTCATAATTTTTTTTGTTGAGATATTATTAAGTATATCCTAAAATGGCAGGACAACTGCACATAGTCTCTCATATCGTTCTTATTAGATGGCGAATCAGTACCCCCTTATGAAGTTTTAACTTTCTATGTTTACTTATCTAGGTTAGCATTTTTCAAGCCAATTGTGTACTTAACGTTGATATTAGTACATCGTAATCATAAATCCTCGCATTGCTGTATCACATATTATAGTATACGATGAGTTTGAGAGCATCATATTTACCATTGTATTGCAACTACATCTAAATCTCATATGCTGAAAGTACTATGCGTACCACGCAGAGGCGAAAGTATAAGGGTCAAAGACATTAATATCAACGTATTGTTAAGATACACATAATTTCTATTGCAAAACCAAAATATAAATTTGACTATTTTTTTTTTTTGGTTCTTATTTTGTCAAGATTTGTACATCATTAAAAATTATGTGACTTCGGGATACGCCCAAACGCTTTTTTTTTTACATGTAAATCCTCAATAAAGCTCGTGTACATACTGTTGCTCCTAGGTCAAAATCGGCGAATTTCACAACCAGATTGTAATTTATGAACATATGATGTCTAAAAAGAATTTGCATAGCAGGTAAGAAGTAATTCATATTTATATTGGCCTTTTGGATTTCGTGAGGACAAGACGAAAGGAAACGGAAAAAAGGAAAATTGACGAATTGTCGAATTTGTTGAAAAGAAAAATTGAAAATAAAAAAAAAGGGTGGGCAAAGAGAAGGGAGTGGTCCCACTTGTTGCACTTTTTTCCAAACTAAATACACGGGCGAATCAGCACTCCTGTACACACGGCATCAATGCACAAGATATTTATGCGCGACCAACCTGATCATCGTCGCATGGAAGATTACACGGCCGACGTGAACGCCTCGACTTCTTCGCAGCAGGGCCGCCCAATCTGCAAACATCTGGACCCCAAAAGCCAAAAAGACATCCTTAAAGCTATGGCATGAAGAAAAATCTTAACTTAGGTTGCTTGCAAAATGATCATCGTTCTCATCATCTTGGATATGTTTTCCCGACAAAGTTACAAAAGATCTTCCAAAACTTTGCAGCGACTGGTAACGCTAATCACGCATTTTATGGCGCGATTTGATGATATTGAAGTTTTACATCATGCGAGGGGATGTTTCGCTGAGAGCGAGTTCTGAACGGGACAAATATCTGTTGCTGACGTCTGAGAGATTTTCGAGCTGGCGAGGTCAAAGGAAAGGAAGCAGGTGCATCCGGACGAAGCCTTCGACAGCTCCAGCACGAACGCCATCGCCTCCGGATCGGTCGATGGATAACGGAGTGGGTAATAGAACAGTGAATCCATTACCGGAGACTTGAGGATCATTTCGCATCGCGATTTGAGACCGCCGTGCCGTGTGCTTAAGTGAAGCGTCCTAAAAATCGAACCAAAATCCGCGCGAATCGAAGCACAGGGGGGGAGAAATTAGGAGAGGGCGTTACCTCGGCTTGTCCTCCTCTTCCTCGTCCCAGGAGGAGCCAAATCGCTGGTCGAGTCGCTGCTGTCGGGCAAGTGACGATCGAGGCGGAGGACGGGGCGGTTGCTCCTTCTGACAAGCATCGCGCGCAGGAAAGAAGACTCGAGCGAGTCCAGGAAATGCAGGTGCTTCTCGTCCGTCCACCACGTCCCGCCGCAATCGCCGCTCGGAGCCGGTGCGTGGGAGTCCATTTCGCCGGAGTATCTTCGGTGCGGGGGCGGCTCACCGTCGTCGTCGTCGTCGTCGCAAAAGGGCGGAAGCGCGTGAGCTGGTGGGGGGTTTTTGGGCCTTTGTTGGAGAAGGAAATTGCAAGTGCAAGAAGACGGAGACGTATGGAACTTTATATAGACGACGGGAGGGAAGGAGGTCAAAGCTCCACTCGCGAGGGCGAGCGTGATATTCACTCGCCTTGTCCTACTCTTCAAAAGATCTTTCCATTACTATTACTATTTTCTCGCTTGTCTCAATCATATGCCATAAAATATTCGACCCAAAAAAATCATGCCATAAAATCCGCACCATCTTTTCCCCCCGCCCTGAAAAGCACTAATAAGAAGTTCGATCTCTACGTCGACATAGATTTTCCCAGCGACTAGCTGAATAAATCTGTAATGTGTATCCGAATTAAGGCTTAGATATGATTAATGGACGGATCTAAACGAGTCGAGGTAAATGTTAATCCTCGAAATCCTTGCCGGCCCTTTGTATCCGTGCTCCGGGTGTAACACGGCGAGCTTAAACAAACCCAATAGCCCGTAAAGGGCCCTTTGTATATGTGCACTAGAAGGGGATGGGAAATGTGTGTAAAATGGAGGACGCCTCCCCCGCCCACAGATTTTTTCCCCCACGGAGAAAATATCTTATAATGCGCCTTCCCTTGACTTCCTCCTCGATGTCGTGCGCGTGCACAGGAGCAAAAGGAGGGCGAGCGTGGAGCGCCCCCGGAGGTTTTCGCGAGTATGGAAAGGAGGCCCCCGCGAGTGGAAAATATCTGCGTGGGGGGGAAAGGGGCGAGCTTTTTCGGAGAGATCTTTTTTTTGCAGGGGGGCCGGATTACGATTCAAAGCGGACCCGTGGAAGTAAAGTAGGGAGGCGAATATATGGAAAAGGAGAAAGGAACCCCACCCGATAAAATATCTGATCGGACCGCGGCTTGATATTTTCGATCGGCGTGGACTAATGATGTCACCAGAAGACCAAAAAACCTTTTGCTAATAAGAGAAAAAAAAATGTTGCTTTTTTTTCTTCAGCAAATATCAGTCCCACCTCGTCGGGCTCTATAATCATTTGGAGTCCTTTACTGTAAATTCTTCGTGCTTTTGGCGTGCTGATAATCGAGTAATTTTCAAGCATCCTAACGGAATTGCACGCGTTGAGAGTTCATGGTACTGCCTCCCCATGTTAAGATTAATATCATGAAAAATTCAAAACTAGCAGATCTATGACAAGTTTATTAAAAATTAATTTTTTGATCACAAAAAATCCCAAACGGATACATTTGCGATAAATTTACTCTCCGTTAGTTTTCATGAAATTAGATTAATGTCGTAAAAAAATCACAAATTGGTAAAATGGAAGGTAAAACCCCAAACTGATGACGCGTCATCAAACTCGGCAATTTGACGGTAAAATTTAACAGAAACCGACGGGATTTTAATTTGTCATAGATGTACGAGTCTGGAGCTTTTTATAGTAAAAAAATTAGTTTGAGGTAAATTTATCACAAGTATATCAGTTTGGAATTTCTCGTGGTATTAACTTCAATTTTTAATACAACTCTTCTCCACGGCTAGATTTGTTTTAACATAATTTCCGGGCCCTTGTGGTCGAGCGCCATGTTGTCCTGCATCTCGGGATGAAGAAAAGCATTCTTCTAAGTGGTAGGGAGCAAACATGGACATCGGATATCTATTTAACTAAGTTGACGAGTCGGTGATTGCGATTCATAACCAGTAACTCATTAAAAACAAGAAAACAGAGAGACTGATGGTAAATTGTGCACCGTACCACGTATACAATTACTATAAGCATATTAAAACAGGCCTTCTTTACCCAAATAGAAGTAAAAAGAGCATAAGTAAATTATATTACAGCAACTCATCATCACACGACATCTCTCTCAACCATTGCATCATTAGCCTGTCTCATCATCGGCAGGTGAATTCCTCGCTCGCTCACTCACTCCAAGTTGGTGTGGCGAGATCGGACGGCCTCGGGGCTCTCCCCGAGAGCCTCCCCCAACCTGTACACCACCATCTCGAACAGCACGAACATCGCCCCCTCGTACACGCTCCCCATCGGCAGCAGCGCCCGAGATCCCTCCGCCCCGTCGTCCGCCATGGTCTGCGCCGGCACGTGCGCCACCGCGCTCGCGTGCCCCGCGCACGCCCCCGCCCCCGGCTGCGCCGTCAGCAGCACCACCCTCCCGCCGTGGGCCCGGGCCGCCGAGCAGATGGCGTCCACGGTGGGGAAGCCCCCGGGCCCCGCCGAGGCGAGGAGGAGGTCGCCGGCGGCGATGGGCGGGGTGGTCACGTCGAGGACGGAGTGGGCCGGGAGGCCCAGGTGGGCGAGGCGCATGCACAGGGCCTTCATCATGAGGCCCTCCCGGCCCACCCCGTAGAGGAACACGCGGCCGCCCCGGGAGGCGGCGGCGGAGAGCTCGGAGACGAGGACGTCGAGGGCCGGCGGGTGGGGGGTGGGCTTGGAGAAGACGGAGGCGATGTGGTCGCAGATTCGCGAGGCTAGGGCGGACATTGAAGTGTCTGGAGACGGTGTCTGCGAGGCAGCCATTTTCTTAGCGCGTGTGCGATTGGGAGGGGTGATGAGGGGGTTTTTATATTCACACAGATTATTGCAGCGATGGACTATTCTTTCCACGAAAACGGTGACGTTTTGGAGCTTCGGATTGTTGCGATGGGTTCGCATGAACTATCGATTTGATATTTTGTTTAGGACTATCGATATCTCATAAAAAAAACTCACGCGATCTTGAAAAAAATGAAAAATTAGTAAAACATGAAAATATTTAGAACTCAATTGACATAATTAAAAATTTTATGATTGAATTAATAAAAATGTAATAACTTTAAAACTTTCTGTATAATTTTATCTATCGAAAAGCTATCATGGAAAATTATTTAGCTGACTTTTCTTGCGACGACGGCTTGATACTTTGTGTTGGCCAGGTCAAGCAATGCTAGCCATGCTCGCGTCAACCATGTCCACGAGCTTCTGAGCTAGGTCACTCCACTCTAGCATCTCCCTAATCTCATCCATTGGACCCTTGGCAACAAGTCGAACCAAATTTGGCCTCAAGCTCCGTGTCGTGATTGAGCTCGAGCCTTCTAGATCTGGGGGCTCGAGCTCTGGGTTCCCTCGTCGAGACTTGCCTCTCCATGTAAGGCCTAATCCATGATTGCGCTTTTCGCTCCCACCTCCACAGCCACCCCAAGTCCTCGTCAAGATCCTCCATTTTGTAGCTATCTTTCCCTCTAGCAACTTGCGGTATGCGCACTGCTTGTTCGACCAAATTCCTCAACCAAACATATTCTTTCATAACCTCCTCATTCGTGGGTACTCCAGTAGCTCCCTCCTCTTTATATTCCTGCTAAAAATTGCGGTCTAGGCAAGGCTAGCCTTGCCATGGCCTCGCCCAAATCTGGGGAGGGCAATGTAGGGCGTCTAGGTCTACATCAGTTATTTTAAGTCAAAATTGGCTAGATGAGTTCAATTAGCAAACACATGAAAATATTTAGAACTCAATTGACATAATTAAAAAGTTTATGATTGAATTGATAATTTTTTGGATAATTTCTCTTAGCTACCATGGAAAATTGTTTAGCTGACTTTTCTTGCGACATGGGCTACCTATTAAATGGATTCACGGATCCTTGATGTCGCGAACATGTCAACAAGGCATGCGATCGCACGACGGACCCAAAAAACAAGCAGGACTACGGGAAGAAAGAAGGCATAATTCCCTAAAAAATCCCAAACTTTAGGTCAAGTCCCAAATTTGTCCCGAACTTTTTTTTGTCTAAAAAAACAACCCAAATTTTAGGTCTAGTCTCAAATATTGCCTGAACTTTTTTTTGTCTCAGAAAAAACCCCAAACTTTAAGTTCAGTCCAAAATCTGTCCCAAACTTTGTTTTTTTTTAAAAAATCATCAAAATTCAATTTATTTTAAAAAATGTACCCCCATGATTCAGTCTCAACTTAACGTGGCACTTTCATGTTGATAACAAATCCACATTAAAAAAGTAATGAGGCTTTTTTTTTAGATAAAGAAAAGTTCGGGACAAATTTGGGCTCAATCTAAAAATTGAGTTTTTTTTATATTAAAATTTTTTTTTGGGTGGATTTGTTATCGTCCCTCACTTTCATATCCTAGATCGGTCAACAATTTTTATTGGATTAGATTTGTTATCAAACTGGAAATGCGACGTCGGTCTGTACCTATCGTCCCATTACTTTGCTGATCTCGACGTAGATATTCCACGTCAAATTGGGACTGGATAACAGGGGTATATTTTTGAAAATAAATAAAATTTGCCGATTTTTTTACACAAAACAAATTTCGAGACAGATTTGGGATTGAAGTTAAAGTTTGAGATTTTTTCTGAGATAAAAAAAAGATCGGGGCAGATTTGGTACTGGACCTAAAGTTTGGGATTTTTTTCTAAAATAAAAAAAATTGGGGTTTTTTTTTTTTAAAATTCACCCTAAGAAAGAAGGAAAGAAATGGCACAAAGCGAAACAATCAAAATACGAAACCCAAAAAAAAAAAAAAAGGAAGAAAGAAAGAAAGAAAAAAGAAAAAGAGAAAGCGATAGTTTTGAAGGAATGAGCAGGAGGAGAGGAGAGTTTCGGCACCTGGACCGGAGAGAAATTCGGTTCTTCTCCGGCTCGATTCCCTAAGCGGGCGTCGAAACAGTCCCTCCTCCTCCCTCCCCCCCTCTCTCTCTCTCTGTCTCTCTCTACACTACGAATCGCCTGCGGCAGCCGTTCTTGCATCGCTGTGAAATTCCAGGAATCGAATCGACTCTCGCCCAAATCCGCGTGAGAATCCTCTTTCCCTTTCACATATCTTCAGCTGATTCGATACGAGATCTCGCGATTGATGGGGTCCCTAGTTTTCTTGATTTCGAGAGCTGCAGAAATCCCTCGTCGATTCGAAAATCTCATGTTGGAATTTGGATTGCTCTTGCTCTTGTGATTTCCATCTGTCTTCTCGGATGGATTGATTGTTGACGATCGCTCTGTCCGGAGCTTCCAATCTGCATTTCGGTGCAGAAACACGAACTCTGTTCTTCCTTCCGTCCGTCGTAGATGCCTCGACCCATCTGTAATTCCGAAGAAGCAGTCGCGCTTGCTTGCTTACAATGCGTGAATTGCGAATCTTTTTAGTAATCTGCGTTGGGATAACTCGCCAAGGATTTACCTTTGCTCGATCTCTTCCTCCTGATTTGAATTGTAATGCTCTGATGGCTACTGTTTTAACTGTCCAGGATTAGGACAGACTATGACTTGAGTTGTCCTCCATATTCCAAACTCCTCCGGACAGCCTGCGTAAAGGGTTTCTTTAGCAAAGTTGAGAGGAGATGTTCTCGTTGTTCTATGGGCTATGGAAGTATCTGTTCACTAAGACGGAGTTTCATGTTCTCATCCTCGGGATCGACAAGGCCGGCAAAACTGTAATTTGGTTCTTCGATCTTGTTTTCTACCATTTGAGTTCGATATGCGTCCGCGAGAATTCCTAGGAATGTTGTATTTGTTTACGAGTTTGTCGTGCCGCCAACGATTTAAGTGCTTTTCTTGAATTTGTAGACTTTTCTGGAGAAGTTGAAATCGATATATTTGAACACGGAAAGCCTTCCTCCTGATCGAATCGTTCCGACCGTCGGACTGAATATTGGTCGCATTGAAGTGTCAAATACGAAGCTTATGTTCTGGGACCTGGGAGGACAGGTATCTATTCGAACCGTATGACGTGACAATGTGTATTCCCCTCTTGTCGTATGATACTCAACCGGTTGTAATGATTGATATGCTTGTGCTGTTAGAATTCCCCTTTATGGTGTTGCAACTTATCATGGAGAGAGAGAGAGAGAGAGAGAGAGAGAGAGAGAGAGAGAGAGAGAGAGAGAGAGAGAGAGAGAGAGAGAGAGAGTACTTAGAGAAAGCAGATGGGAAATTTCAGTCCTGCCATTTCTAATTGTAGAGTCTTGAGTGTGTTGGACACTGACAGCAAACGTCTTGTTTTTTCAGCCTGGTCTTCGTTCAATTTGGGAAAAATATTATGAAGAGGCCCATGCTTTAGTATTTGTAATTGATGCTGCTTCTCCATCGCGCTTCGAGGAATCAAAATCTTCTCTGGGTTAGTAAATTTCAGAAACGTGGGTCATGAACGGTGGAGTCACTAATTGGATTGTAATTGGTAATAGCAGCCCGGAAGTCTTCTCACAGTGATTTGCTAATTGTTCTGATATGCCTTTCAGAAAAAGTTCTTCGGAATGAGGATCTTCAGGGAGCACCTCTTTTGATATTGGCAAATAAGCAGGTGAATTTTTGTGCTGTTGAACCTCCCTCTGCTGAGCTTGCTGAAGCTATATCACCATTTTCTTCCTCAAATTTGTTTTCATATTGCGTTGATATAGCTGACTATGAGTGTGCGCGCTGTTTTTCTTGAGATATTGGCATTCATAAGACGTGAACCTGTCACAGGTTCTTTTCTAGTAAACTTTTGGTTGAGAACTATATCATCATCCATCGCTTTTGAGGTTGTCTCTGTTTCCACCTCAGTAGTTATAGGTTTGTGCATTCATCAACATGCTTAAGCTGTTTTGCTTAGTGTGGTTGTTCGTTGTTTTCTTGTGAGAGTTGTATTTTTTCCACTGAGTGAGGTCGGGTATGAGGAACTTCTTGCATGATTGCATTTTTTTTAGTACCAAAATCTCCATAATAGCCAAGTCGTCAAGATTTTTCTTCAATGCGTTGGTCTACTTCTTTTCTCGGAACTGGTGGCATCTTCTTATTAGAGCATCTAAAAGTCTTTTCACACATTCAACTTTCCTACATTGAGTTGTTCTCTTATTTTTATCAATAACAAACCTAAAGTACGCCCTCGACAATCTTTTTGTTAACTCGGGAGTCCGTGATTTTCATTATTTTCATCTCCATTTTCTTCGGTCCATAAAGGAGGGCAATTGTATGAAGTTTAATTTGATAGCAGGATCTTGCTGAAGCTGTATCAGCTGACGAACTGGCTCGGTATTTGGATCTTAAGAAGTTGGATAAGAGGGTTTACATGTTCGAAGCTGTCTCCGCATATGATGGGTAAGTAGGGAGCAGTCCGTATGTGTTCAACTCATTTTGAATCGTGTGTTATCTTTCTAAGAAGCAAGACAACAGCCAGTAATTCACATTTACGTAAACATAAATTTTGGGAGGTAAGTTGAGTGTTCATTAGTGTTATGCTCATTCGTTGCAGGTTGGGAATCAAAGAAAGTGTGGAATGGCTAGTGGAAGTCATGGAGAGAAGCAAGAGAACTGAGATGTTGAGAGTGCGTGCCGGGGTAACAGGTCCTGCTTCTGCCTAAAGATTATATCAGGTTGCAGTTGTAACGGCTGTAAATAATCTATAGGTTTGACTTGGATGGCTGTGATTAAGTCATTTCTAATCCGCTCCATTGGCCATGAATCTTTTTCGACTGCGTAAAAGTCAGAAGTCCTGCGTCATACATCTTCACAGAAGGAAGCATCTCTACTCATACAAATGAATTGAGATTTATAGGAGGAACCGAATTGGATTTT